AGCCATTCTATCCTTAGTGGAAGACAGCTATATTATTAAAACAGGGCATCATGGGTTCAGATTTAAATGAAACTTGGCCAGCGTTCAAAAGAAAAAAAACAAACCAAAAACTCAAGTAATCCATGGTTATTCTACACAGCATACTGTAGGGTTTTATTTTCCAACAAAAGAGAGTGATGCCAAGGTCATGGAATGCAGCTGCTATGATCAACCAAAAATAGATACCAAGCTCTACATCCTCCCTCATAATTAAAATAGGAAAATTAAACTCAATGTAAGCAGGCTGAAGCTAGACAACCACATTATTCTACTTAAGCATTAAATCACTGCCATCCACATAGAAAAAAAGCTGCAGTTCAGTGAAGCTGTCACAAACTATACTAGAGATAATTTTTATATAAAGTATAAGGAATGAATAAAAAAATAACCAACTGGTGAATTTTTCTTGTAAAATGTATTTACGTGAGGCTTTTTGGTTTTTTAATTGTGACATACAAATCAAGAGACTGCTAACTAAGAAGGAACATCAAACAAATGTTTTTATCTTAGCTTTGCAGAAGATGCAAAGAGAAGGTTCTGCAGGGCTTGAAATGAAACAGAACTACACGTAACCCTTGAAATGTTTTTAAAGGTCATTAGATGGAAGTCTAAACATAATTAAACTGCTACAGTGTTTCACTTTTTCTCTTTCAGACAGCAGCACATAGCTCTTCATTACACTGCACACAAAACAAGTTGTTACTTCACCTTTTCTTTTTGTGAGTTTATGTCTCCGTTTCTCCATTTCTTTCAAATTGCATTTGAACTTGAAAATAAAGGATTTTCTGTAATCAAGCCTGATTAAAATGAACAGCCCCTTTTTCCAAATACTGTAGAATGAACTACTAATCACATAAATATTTCAAGGACTATTCCTTAAAGGTATTAAGATGCTCCCTCTGAATTCTGAAGTACCAATCATTGCTTCTGGATAAGTAAAAGCTCCAGTTGTACAGTCACGTAAGAAATTTTACATGTAAAATTGTAAATTTAAATCTTTGGTTCATTACAGTCATATCTAACAATAAAGTCAAAACTTACTTATGCCCTCTTCCTGCCTTAACCTGAAAACATGTCTAACGATTAACGTTTTCCATCCCCCCAAGTCCTCCAAAGAAATTTAACTTAGATGTAAGTTCAAGGTGACTTTCACAAGAAGTGATCAAGCCAAACAACTTCTAGAATAAAATGCTGATGTATGCATTCATGAGTTGTTCTTGTTTACCTTCGTAACAATCAAGGAGTAATATTATTTGAATTTTTATGTTCACATCAAATGCAGATAGTTGTTAAGCTAAATGACTATGTTCACATATTGTACAGCAAATACAAGTTACATTAAAGCATTATAAGGTGATGAAAGGTTGGAAGGCAATACAATTCCAGAACCTCTGCAAAACAAGCACAACTAGATGCTTCATGGTGAGTTAATAAACAAAATTCCAATTGAATATTGATTCAATATCAATAGGCTAAAGATACTTTAACTTCCAAGAAAAGACAGACATAAAAAAAGCCTAGAAAAGTACAATTAGAAGTTATACGTTGTAGTACTCCTTCCCCAAGACATCCCCAGGCCAATGCAAGTACTAAAAGGATTAATTATCCCTCTCTGAGTAAGCTTCCTATCTTATATGGCAAAAGACTTTAGTGGCATCTCATCCTTACTTAGTAGAGACATGAGATTTAACTTGATAATAGCTACACTTTAAAAGGAAGACATCTACAAATTTAAAGATAATGCATAGCTGACCTGTCCTACCCTCCTGTCACAAACAAGAGAAGAGACAGGTGACAAAGCCACTGTTATAGTAAAATTCTACAGTGTACTGAGTGGTTAGCCACTGAAAAGTGCTGTAGAGGAGATGTCACCATCTCATCCAGCAAACAGTCTCAGAGTTGTCAGAAAACAACTAACAGGAATCATAAGCACTATTATCTAAGTAGACATAGCTTAGTCCGATAGCAATACGGAAGACAAGCACTCTGAGGTCAAGTGATGTAAACAAATTTTCCTCCTGCTCTGTCAGGATCATCTCAGGTAGGTTCACCTGAAACCAGGTTGGCACACAGTGCTGTTCAGTACTAGTCACTGTAGACCTTTTTGCTTTAGAAAACAAAGCAACTGTCAAACTGTTCCTTAAAAAAAAAATAATGCAAGTTGCTTTACTAATTACACATTCTAGAGCTAACTACGACACAGTATATAAAGAATTTAAAAGCTTTATTCCTTTCAAAAAGATACTAGCTTTAGCGACTTGCTTGTAACTTCTTCAGAGACAGTGCATGTAAAACTCTAGTGCACATTTGGTTGGTAACCTAAAAATGTTACTGAACTGAATATTTTAAGTAAGTTCCCAGAGAAAGTTCTAAATCAAACTAAAAATGTGGGTTAAACTAGATTATTTCAGAGTACCTATTGAATGTGAACTTATCTGTAAAGGCAATGACTCAGACATCACTTGAAAACATTCACTACAGAAAAGATATAGATAAATACTTAAAATAGCTGTACCAAGATATTTTTAGTCATAGAAATATAGAGAAAAATAATAGAAGGGACACGAAAAAAAGCAGTAAGAGAATAGTTTGGGGAAAAAAGCTACAGATGCAGTAAGGAGATGTGTCATGTTTAACAGTTTCCTTCTCCATACAGGGACTAAATTAGAATCTTTCACAGATTCTGCTCTCCCATCCTCCCCAAGAAAAGGATGTCAACCTATGCCAGAACATCCACAATGTGCAAAACCTGGCTCTAAGTCCTGACTGAATCAGGCTGCAGATTTGTAAAATTACCTCCCACATCCAGAAAAAACAAGCTCATTAGTGGGTATTCTGAACAGATGTGACTAATAGCAAATAACATCTTTCCTCAGAAGCATCTTCCATGTGGCATGTAATTAATTGTTTTTCAAAAATAACCTCCATTTGAAAAAAATGGCTTTGCTAAAAGCATCCATTTATTCACCTCTAAGGAACCAATCTTCCTGCCAGTGCTGGCAGATGGGAAAGTATGAGTTTATGGAAGCAGGCCCAAAAAAGATCAGGTTTTATAAGAGAGATTTTAAGATTTTAACTTAATGTAGAAAGAACAATGCAATGCAGACAAGACAGATGTGTGCTAAAACATGAATTATGCATATATTATTACCTGAATATACAAAAATGATAACCTAGGTATACCTAACATTATTTCAAGGAACACTAATAAGGAAATTACCCATTGGACAGAAATCATATCTAAATTCTGTGACTAAGTTTCAAGAAGAGCTGGGAACTCATCATGAACACAGGTTAACAGACTCCTCTGTCATCATCTTAATCTACATAATTGAATACAATCATGTTACCATCAATCTAAATAAGGTAAAAATATTACCTACATAGCACAAACTGTGCCACTTGTTTGTGAAAAGCCCCAGCTCATTTCCATCTCTCTCTTCTCATGTCATATTCTCCTCTAACTTCTGCTTGACATAACTAATGTTAAGTTAACTACAACAGCTACCCATATTCTTATCCTACTGTATCATTAACGGTTGATATCATACATTATTTCCAAAGTTATCCTATTGCAAATACCATCCCCAGTGCCACTGAAGTAGTAGAGCAGTAGGTCCATTTACGGTAGTTCTCTGATATCCTCATTAGAATTGGCGTTAGAATCGCATGCAGTATCTGGTCCAAATTACTAGTTGATAGCCAAGTGGAACACTTCCATACCCAGTTTTAAACTATGTTTATTCCTATGACAAGATGATGCTGCACTATTGAATATAGACACACACACTGCTACCCCTTCTGATTCATCAATTTTCAAATGGCTTTCTACTTCCAATTACATTTCTATACACATACGCATACATTTAAACTTCCTTCTCTACCAAACCTAGAATATTTTAGGATTTAAAATTCATTTTATGGTCTAATCGCTGCTCTCATCTTGCGAGTCCCTCAAAAATGGGCTTACTTTACCCACACCATTTGTATCCTGTCAAATGCAGTACTGGAAAGAAATGGTTAATTCCCATTTTCTACCTTTACCCATTATAGTATCAAAGGAACAGGAATTCCCACTACTTACTGGATCTTTCATTACTCCAGTCTGATTATATTTTAGAGCAATACCTCTTTCCTTATATGACTAAATTTTATGCAAGAATATTAACTGGCTAGTGGTTTCTTATGTCATTCTACAACTTTAGGAAACCCAAGTGCTTACCTTAAATGTCTATTTATCTACAGGTAATGTAGCAGAGGTAAGATTACCTGCCAAAGGTCCCTACAAGCCTTCCAGGAATCAGCTAGGGAACTTAGGCACTTCACAAAAGTTGCTTCTTTAGCTGTCTAACGCTGAGGTTCGGTACCCATTTTAGGCAGGTGAATCTGTTAGTTCAGATTTACTTCTGGCTTCCTTAAAGTCAAGTCTATGCATTTTAAGAGCTAGAGAAGATTTTCTTTTTTCCTCTGTTGAATGGAAGGATTGGTGAGACCAATTTTTCTTCTCCATAAGAAAATCATTTTGTTGGCAAACTCTAGTCAGTGGTACTTGTCTGTAAGGCAACGTTTTCTTCAATAAATGGATATGTTTCATTATAACTTTGTCTCCAAAAGCGATGATTCAGTCATTATTTGAACCTATTTTGAAATACTTTCTTCTATCACCTAGCAGAATTAGAGCACAAGTAGGTCTAATATATCTGACTACTAAAGGGGTATGCTTGTCTACTCACATGTAGTCATTGCAAGATTGGTATATTCAAACACAGACTTTGCAAAGATATTAAAGCTTATATTCATAGAATCAGTTACAAAACTTCTATTTGTATTACATATATTTCTATAAATAGAAAAAATGTATCTTAAAAGTCTTCATAGTATCAGTAGTTTTATTCTGCTTTTTTACTTATGAAGCATGTCAATCTGTCAGCTTAAAATAGTATATTAACACAGTTAACTACCTGCGGGTCCGTGGAGGCTTTGGTGGAGGAGAATCCTGTTTCTCAGCATCTGAAGAACTGACAGCATTCTCCGTATTATTTTCATCCTGATTAAAAGAAAAAGTTTTCATTCATGGCTGTAAAGCTAATACACACAATACTTAAACTGTAAGGTCCAAAGATCCGTAATGATACTTGAAAATAATGTATGACAATATAACGTATTTTTAAGTTATCATATAGAGATCACTTTCAAAATTCTACTCTAAATTCGTATTATTTTTATATCTTACATATCCAACTTAAAATTTTTCTGACTAAACATTTTGTTTGGTATGTAATTGTACTACTAGAGAAAACTCTCAAAAGCTAATCCTCCAGGTTAGTAGTAAACTCCTTTATGCCCTCCAAACTATTCATATTGAAGGCATTTCTTTTCCAGTCAGTCTAATTATTTCCACTTGTACAATTACTCCATTGAAGATAAGACTAATCTATAGCGCAGTAAGAAAATGAGAATTTCAGCTACCGTAAAGTGATAAGTGGGTAAGATTTAACACATTCTAAAAAATTTGCAAATCATCTCCAATTTGCATACAATGAAGTCTAACTTACTCAGCAAAGCATGAAGATTTCTATTTAATTTTAAGAGGACCATCAATATAAGAGATATAATTTATATCCGTATATATTTATAAATATATGTATCCATACACATTTGTATGTATATACATATAATATCTTGTTGTGGGTTAACCCCAGTAGGCAGCTAAGCACCACAAAGCCACTCACTCACTCATTTCTCCCCCCTACCCCTGGAGGCGGAAGAAGAAAGGCAAGAAAGCTTGTGGGTCAAGATAAAATTGTTTAGTAAGCAAAGAAGAAGTGGGAGAAGGGAGAAAGAAAACACACAAAGCAAGTGATGTAAAAGCACAGGTAGACCTATGTCCTGACAGGTCCTGAGCGAAAGATGGCTAAGCTCACTAACCTCCTCTCCTCTTTCCCCTCTTTATTGCTGAGCATGATGTTATCTGGTGTTATGGAATATATCTTTGGTCAGTTTGGCTCATCTGCCTGGTTGTGTCCCCTTCCAACCTCTTGTGTACCCCCTCAGCCTATTCACTGGGCAGGCAAACTAAGAAACAGAGGCAGCATTGACACTATGCAAACATTGTTCAGCAATAGCGGGAACATTAGTGTGTCATCAGTGCTGCTTTGGTCACAAATCCAAAACACAGCACCCCAAGAGCGGCTGTGAAGAATAACTCCACGCAGCCAGACTCAGTACAAATATGCATAAATGTATATGTATAAAAATAAAAACAGAACATGCAAGAGTCTAAAGCTGATATACCATCTCCATACATGTCGCTGCCAAAAATCCAACAAAACCAACGAGGACCTTAGTGTTATCTTGAGTTTAATATGTATTTTACCTAAAGGCGTTTCTTGCAGGAGTTTTCCTTTGAAAAGTAATTTTCAAAAAGAACTACAAATATCCTGAATCTGCATAATATATTTCAAAGCGCAATACTGGGTTTCATGCAACTGGGTCTACTGTCTGCCAGCCTACCTGTTCAGACTCAGTGACAGAGACTGACCTCTTCCAGTCTTACAAAACAAAAGGGAATTCCCTGTTAATTTCTGCTTCAAATGTGACAGTTGCATTTGAATTTGGTAAGTAATTTCAGCTTTGGAAGATAAAACATAACGAAAAGCTATCTCAACAGCTAATTATCCCCACGTAAATTTAGATTCATTAGTTACATGTCTTTCATTTCCATTAATAATCTTCAAACAGTTATCATATCACTGTTTGCTAGCATGAAGAGTCTATTATCAAATGCTATTCCTCAGTGTTCTAAGTACAGCTTTTCCTGTGAAGAAAAAAATTAAATCTTTTAATCTTTCTTATTGTTCTCCACTAACCTCCACCATTAACTAGTAGTCCAATACAATACTGTGCAAGTACTCCAGCAGAAATGCTCCACTGTTCCTATATCAATGACTTGTGTTAGCCCTTTCAGACAAATTGCACAGGCAGTTCATTGTCCTGCTGACCACTTGCTGTAACCACCAAGTTTTTTTTGGAGTGAGACTCAATTAGCAGATAAAAGCCACTTCATTTAGATGACCACAAGTGAAGCTCCCATTGCAGTCAACCAAGGTTTGTTGGTTTTCATAGAATAGTTTGGGTTGGAAGGGACTTTTAAAGGTCACCTAGTCCAACCCCCTGCCATGAGCAGCGACATCTTCCACTAGCTCAGGTTGCTCAGAGCCCTGTCCAACCTGACCTTGAACGTTTCCAGGGATGGGGTATCTACCACCTCTCTGGGAAACCTGTTCCAGTGTTTCACCGCCCTCATGGTAAAAAAATTTCTTCATTATATCTAGTATAAATCTACCCTCTTTTAGTTTAAAACCATTATGTCTTGTCCTATCACAACAGGCCCTACTAAAAAGTCTGTCCCAAGCTTTCTTGGGGGCCCCTTTAGGTACTGGAAGGCTGCTATAAGGTCTCCCCAGAACCTTCTCTTCTCCAGACTGAACAACCCCAACTCTCTCAGCCTGTCTTCACAGGAGAGGTGCTCCAGCCCTCGAATCATCTTCGTGGCCTCCTCTGGACTCACTCCAACAGGCCCATGTCCTTCCTGTGTTGGGGTCCCCAGAGCTGAAGGCAGTACTGCAGGCTGGGGTCTCACCAGAGTGGAGTAAAGGAGGAGAACCCCCTCCCTTGACCTGCTGGTCACGCTGCTGGTGATGCAGTCCAGGATATGGTTGGCTTTCTGGGCTGCCAGCGCACAATGTCAGGTCATGTCCAGCTTTTCATTCACCAGTAAGCGACTAGCCAGTAAGCTGGAGATGAAGATAACAGATGAATTGGCCCCAACGACTACATCTGGAGCTTACACATGTAGACCACATGCAAAGTCTCTGTTCCACTTCAAATTCTTCCCCTTTTTGATTCCAGATCTGAGCCTTTACATTTTGCAACATTAAAACATACTCTTGCTCAACTTGGCAAATAGCTCAGATTTCTTATTCTATTTATGTCACAACACATTGTTTCTTTAAGATTCTGTTACTTCTATTAATAATGATTTTTGGTTTTCCTGGGGTAATGCATAAAAAAAACTAAGAGCCATATGAGGTCAATTGATCATGCTGTATCTGATTGAACTAGGATTATTATTTATTGGTTGGCTCTCAGAGTGAACTGTACTGTGAACTAGGTTTTAATACATTTAACATACTGGGGTTTGTATCTTTCTAGCTTCTTAATAAACAACATTGGTTGCAAGTCAAACACCTTCAGAGATTTAATGCCTCAGCACTACCTTAACAATAATTCTCAGCAAAAAGTGCTGTCATCAAGATATAGTGTCCAAAAAGTCACTGTCCAAAAAAGCAGAATGACAAAAATGGCTAATGAGATATCAAAAAAAAGTATGAATGCTATGCTTGATCATAAACTGAATGCAGGACCTCGTTATCTTATCTAGGAACAAAGGTACTCTTTTAAGTCCTTTGTCAGTTTTCCATGACTTACTGAAAAACATTAAGAGCTCAAAGAACTTATGAAATCTAGCTGCAAACTATTGCAGACATGCTAATTTAAAAAAAAACCTAATTTTTTTTCCTAGTCATTGATGGAATAAAACAGTACCATGGAACATGGACATCTAGTCCCTCTACCAGCCTCCTCTCAAATATGCAGAAAGCAATTTCCAGCTTTTTGACATCGGGTGATGGGTGACCATACAGATTGCTTTGCCCTTAACATACATGAGAATGAATTTTATTGCCCTCATGTAGGCAGTTATCATTCTGAAGGTTGCTGAGGCTCACAGTATCCAACAGCAGCAATTCAGTTACCTGCTAAATGGCTGTGTCATGCTGCCCCCCGCTTCCCTGAGTTGTGTAAATTAAACTCTGAATCTGTCCCATATGTAGTCATTACTACAGATAGAATTAAATGCATTGATAGTGTTCTAAAAAGGCTCTCCTTAACCGTAAGTATTAGCTACTAGAGTTAGAAACTAATGCAACTGCATCCTGAGAACAGAGTGGGCTGTTTTCCTTGTTTCAGCACCACAGCACATCCAAGTTTCCTAAGGCGGAGATATTAGAAAGAGTGAGACTCCACAGGAGGAGTTCCACCCCCTTATCATCAGCTTCTCCATCCTACAACAGATCAGAAAAGTATACCAGTTCAGTTCCGCCAGCACAGAAGTTTTGAGGAACAGATTTCTTATTTATGCACTCAGTTTTCTGAAAGGTACTGGCATGGGAAAGGGTGTGCCTGTTGGCTGTGGTGTAGGTTAACTTGTCCAGAAAACAGACCAGCAGTTGCATCCCTGTCCTCCTACGTCTGTAAAGTGAAGTGTTTGTGAACAGTGTTTCCTGAGATACGCTTTTCTCCCAGGCAGAAGAAAAAGCCTATTAAAGAAGTTAACATATATCAAAAGCTTTTTTAAACTGTTACATAAACAGTAAGAAGCTGTTTCTAGTTGAGACATGCAGAAGTACTTGAAGAGGCAGTGCCATTTTTGCTACTAGTAATAAAACATATGGAAATACCTTGCAAAAATGTGTATAAATTCAAATGTCTGAGGCACATAGACAACCAAAGAGAGGTTACAAAAAAAATTCCTTAAAGAAAAAAAAACAAACAAAAAAAATCCCAAACCAAAAACCAAAACCCAAATAACAAAACACACACACACACAAAACGATACTTTTAAATTCAACCCCAGAAGACAAGTCAGTGGTTACGTCATGCACTGAGAAAGCTTCAGGCAGGTATGTGTTCACATGCTTTCACTTCTGCATTATCTTAAAATCACGATCAGTTCACTCTGTTCACACAGTTACATTAAATCAGGAGCAAGAATGTGACAGGAATTATTGTCACAAAAAAAGTGGTACTTTCCTACTTTGCTTACTTAGCTCAATGCACTCGTGTTTCTGTGAAGGCTTCATTTACTTTTAGACAACTCATTGTCCAGTAAGTGACAGACTTTTACTTCAAAGGTTGAAGATGATAGAAGTTTAAGGTGGTAACCAAATGCGCTAACCCATGCAGGAAAGAAAATAGTGCTCATAT